ACAGTCCTTTTCTTTTCCTGATAAAACCTATAATTCAAGAGTTTTCCTTAAAAATCAGAGGCTAGAAGTTGGGCTCCGCTTGTTATGCTGCGTCTGGTGCCAGTGATCGGTCTGCAGCACCAACTGGCTTATCCACTGCTGACTCTGCGGCGCTCCGGCCCTGTTCCACTCCCCTTGCCAGGCCGATCCAGCTAAAAGAGAAGCAGGGAGAACGCCAGCATCCACGAGCCAAAACCCCGTCGGAAGATATGTTCCCATTTGTGCTTCAAGCGAGGGGGAGCGCTACTTACAGGCGCGGGCAGAGGAGGAACCTCTGGGCCATACTGGGCCATCTGTGCACCTCCCGGTGATGTGCCTGGCGCGCGGATCCCGCCTGCCGCCCGGCAGCGCATCCGTCTCTGTCACCTGCAGATTCCGTTCCCTTCTCCTCCTTTCCTTCAGACTCCTTTTATGTCGGCTTTAATCAGCCCTTGCTCACACCTGAGTGCAGCAATTACGCAGCGCAATTAATGCACTCCACCTCCCCAGACAACCACTTCAGTCCAGTGCACATAGATTGTCACAAGGGGAAAAACAAACCAAAAAAATCCAACATGCAGGAAAAATTCAAAAGTCTAAAATAAAGGAAATCATATAAACAAACATCAAAACATGCAAAGCTCAAGAAGAAAATACAAAGAAAAACAAATCATATCTTCCCCTCCAAACATGCAAAGCATAAAACTAACATTTAAATGAAAGAAAAACATAAATCATATTTTTCCCTGTGCAACATAATGACTATACATGGTTGTCACAAAATTCCACGGCACACCCGCACTTGACTCACGGCACACCAGTGTGCCGCGGCACACCATTAGGGAACCACTGCCCTATCGTCCTCTGTTGGTTAGCCGCCACTGCTCTACCCCCATCATTTCCACATTCTGTCAAAACAGCTATCCACATAGTATGATGTTGCCACCTCCATGCTTTAAAATGTACATGGTGTGTTCAAATAAATGTGGAGGGCTTTATGCCACCCCAAACATTTTGCATGTAGGATCAGGAGTTACATTTGCTGATGTGAACAAATGTGAAAAAAACTGCTTGCAAGGATCCCTAGCTTGATTTGGGTCAATGCGGGGGTTTTAAACTAATATTCTATAAAGTGATCCACAGTTCATTTTAGTTTAGATTTCTTGAATGCAATGTGTCATTTCTTCCTATATCTTTTGTACAAACAGCTTAAGAACAAATTTGTTTATATGAAGGCTTCTTACAATGTGCTTATTACATGGCGTGGACCGAACCGGTTAGCATATCTTCACCCCTGCTTATCCAATCTTTAGAGATCACCCAAAACACGCCCACTTATTGAACGTGCTTTCTTTTTGTCCACACAATTCACAGCTCCTTATTTGGATTCTTTGAGATCAGACCCTAAGGCCTCTTCATCTCTACACCTTCTCATTTTAACAGCTGCTGCACCAAATAGAATGACACCTAACTGAAAAGATGCTTTTTATCCTTAGTTTAACCCCAATATATTCCTGTCAGCCTCATTACATTTGGTAATACATCAAACGTTCCGTTATCTGCAGGTTATTCATGTATTCATACAAACAGAATAGAAAACACGCATACAAGCAGGCAGGCATGATGTCATTGGTATTTTGGGATGAAAACCAGAAAAAAACCATCAGCATTATTGGTATATAACAGGTGGATCTAAAAAAGAGTGGAATAAACTGAGAGGTTATTATGCTGAAGCTGTAATTCTACTTGAACAAATGCTTAATGAGGAGCAGGCTGCAGGAAAGGTGAGGTACATTAAAGTGTCTCATCCCTGCCCAAGAGCAAAGAGATGTTGAAGGACAGCAGGAAGAAAACTGTAGACCTGCAGCAGGCTGAGAAGATGAATCTACAATAGGCAGGTAGGTTGGCGTAAATAAATGGACTCTGGGAGCAATTGGAGGAAAATTAAAGACCATTGATGAACAAATCTCCCTTGATCTGGGGCCCATTTAAGATTTTACCCACTGAGGTGAAAATGATCATTGAAACAGTGACTAAAGATTGCAGGAATAGAGGGAGGGACCTGATGAATGACCTGCAGAGATCTGGGACCAAAAGAACAAAGGCTACCATCAGTAACACACTATCACCTTAAAATAAAACACTTTTCTGCATGGAGATTTAAACAAGCCGAAGGTGGGAGATTGGGTTTAATTCAGAAATCTTCACAATAGAGAGTAATCTGAAAGGGTGAAATACATTGATTCAAAGGAAAAGGGTGAGCCTTACAAAGTGTTAAAAAGCTTATTGTTCTGTCTTTTATATCACGTTCAGCCTAAAGTCCTGTATAATAAACTCTGCAAACAAAGCAGATAAAACAGGAAACTGTGTGGGGCTCAGGCAGATGTATACGTAGAAGTTTTATCTGCTTTAAACTGGATTTCTGTCCACAGCTCGCTAATCCAGATTCAGTGGAGGGTCTGGTTCTGATTAACATCGACACTAACGCTAAAGGATGGATGGACTGGGCCGCTCACAAGGTTCGTCTCCCTGTCCTCTGACTTGGTGTCTTCCTGCCGAGACAGGACAATAAAAATGTGATGTTCTAATGGAGTCTGGCCAGATGAGAGTTGTTAATCAGTTTAAGGATATTCATTTGGGCATGTTCTGTTTTACTGTATTATTGATTGTTTTTATGTTAATGATGTGAGGCTTTAATCTTTGTTCTTTCTGTCCTCTGTAGCTGAGTTCGGTGACTTCCTCCCTCACAGAGCAGATCCTGTGTCACCTTTTTAGTCAGGTACAGCCACAGCAAACAGAGGCACAATTCATCTGGCGGAAAATCACTTCATATGTTTATGTCCTGATGTTTTACTTTTTCTTTTGTAATGTAGGAGGAGCTGTCATCGAACACAGACTTAGTGACGTCTCACAGAGAGCGCATCTCCAAAGCGCCTAATCTGGCCAACATTGAGCTCTTCTGGAAAACGTACAACAGGTAACAATGTCCATCAGGGGGAAGTATACTAACTTAAATCAAACGCAGACTAACCCCGCCTTTCTGCCCAACACAGCCGCAGAGATCTGAACCTGGATCGCAACTACACCTTCAAGTGACTACACCTTTCTGTTTTTAACAATGACTTTGATGTTTGGGTGAAGATGATCTGAGATTGTAATGTGTGTCTTTATCAGGTGTCCAGTGATGCTGGTGGTGGGTGATCAGGCTCCATACGAAGAGGCCGCTGTAAGTGACCCGCCTCTTTCCAGACATTCCTCTGTTCTGTGATTTACACTGATAGAATTTTCTCATGCTTTTCTTCCTTTGTCCACTAGGTGGAGTGCAACAGCAAGCTGGACCCGACATCCACTTCCTTCCTGAAGGTCAAACATCATTTTGTGCCTCTGTTAAGCTTCTCTTATTCAGTTTTCTTCCTTTAACTCTTATTACCTTTCCCTTCTGCAGATGGCCGATGCAGGCGGCCTACCTCAGCTCACTCAGGTAACAGAAACCCCTGAAAGCTTTAGAAATATCAGTATTCAGCAGGGCTGCAGAACATACGTCTACACAGATATTTTGAAAGGCAGGTATGGAAAAAAGGGCACATGCTGGCTATGTTTGAATTCATGGGCTGCGTCTTCCAATGACGCTGTCATGATGGGTATCTGAGCTAGCCCAAAATGCAGAACACACACGGAGGCTGGATAAAGGTTCAACAGAGTTTATTAAGGTTTCACAAAAACACACAAATATGAACTGATCTGGATCTGGTTTGGGCT